TGCTGCTGGGGTTAAACCACAACACAGGGCTGGCAGTGTTTTGTGGAAACAGGTGATTTCAGCAGCCACAACTCCTCTGCAAGCACTGAGCAGGGCTTGGATTATCCCAGCTAAACCACAGGATGGTTTCTGTCAAAGCACAGCATCTCAGTCTGCTGCAGCAGCTGTGTCCCACAGGGCCCTCAGTGCCTCATGACTCCACATCCCTGGACAGGACTCACACTGACAGCAGCAATGAACATATTGTCTCCTCGGGTCAGTGCTGCCATTACCTGCAACAGGGAGTTTTGTTAACAGGTCTGTTTTGTGCTTCTGCTAGTGGCCACAGGACTACTATAAACACAGGAGTGTTTGGGACAAGTGTCGTGGTTTAACCCCAGCAGCAGCCAAGAACCAGCAGCCTCTCACTCACTGCCCCACCAACGGGATGGGGGAGAGAATCAGAAGGGTAAAAGCTACAAAAACTCATGGGTTGAGATAAAGACAGTTTAATAGAGAAAGCAAAAGCTGCACACACACAAGCATAGCAAAACAAGGAATTAATTCACTGCTTCCCACAGACAGGAGGTGTTCAGCCATCTCCAGGAGAGCAGGGCCCATCACAAAACCATCTCTGCATTATCAACTCTGTGTTCTGCACAAACCCCAAACATAGCCTCATACTAGCCTCTATGAAGAAAGTTAACTCTACTCCAGCTCAAACCAGCACAACAAGCCACCTGCACAGCACTGATTCTGTTGTGGTGCATTCCTCAGAGCATCACCAACACCACGAAGTGTGGAGCTGCTCAGTGACTGGGCTGATGGGTTGTTTCTTCCACAGAGCCCCCAGCTCTGCTCACTCCCCTCTGTCTTTCCTTTCATCTCTTTTCACTTTCTTCACTGTAATGAGCCCTCATTCCAAGATCTCCTTTTATCTGCTGAGTAAAACATTAAAACAAAAAGACAACTACAGAAAAATCAGGGCAGCAACCAGAGGATGATGAACTGTCACACTGGTCACTTCTGGTTTTCGTTCAGTGATAAAGTTGTCACATTTTCATTGGCCTAAAGGAGACCCTGATTTCATCTTCCACACTTACACTTTCAGGACTACACAGAACTAGATTACTCATCTCTGCATTTCAGAGGCAGATTCCATCTTGATACAAGTGTCAGTTTAGCTGTGAAATCTCTCCTCAAACAATACCTGTTGGGTCTGAATTCCTCTGAGCCTTGGGAATGTGTCAGAACTGTGTGAGACTCATTTCTAACCATCACCATTAGAGCTTCACACAGCGTTTGACACTAATGCAGATCCAGGTTTGTGGGGGCAGAGCCCAAGTGCCTCTGCACCGACTGCTCTTTGCTGCTTTGTGCTAAACCTTTCATTTCAGCCTCATGCTGCTATCCTGTTTGTCTGTCACCAGACTGCACAGGTGACTCCCTCCCCAAAGAAACTGTGATTTCTTTGGCTATTAAATTTAAAATTTGCTGCAGTGATTATTTCCTGCAATGGTGAGAAATTTTAGCCCTCCCACTCAGCACGTCTTTGGCAGCTGAGAAAATAAATTACCTGTAGAAATAGAAAAGCTCACATTTAGCTGAAGCTTCCCATGCAAGCAACATTCTCATGACTCTCGACACTCTAATGGGAACACTTGTGATTTAGAGTGGAGAGTTTCAAAGCATGAAGGCAACGAGCCCCATTCTTTGTGATTCTTTAGACATGACAACTTGCTTATTACCTCCCCAATAACAGCAGAAGTGATGTTTATTCTGCTCTCACCAGCCTATTCAAAAAGGCCTTGAAATCCTAAATAACACAATGTGCTAGCATTTTACATCTGTACTGATCCTTTATTACTTTCAGCTTGATTTCTAGTTTAATTGGTGGGGTGTTGGGTTTTTTTTTCATTTGATAACTCTGTTTTTCTCAAACTTTCTTTCTGTTCCCTGTGTCTGTTCCTACCCTTGCAACAGGCTGGCTGGATCCAGTCTGACAGCATCACCTTCCCTCCCCTAAAACTGGGGGCTCGATGCACAACAGCTTAGTGATGAGCTGCAGCATTTAGAACCTGAACCAAGCCAAGCTCACAAAGCAACAGGTGGAACAAGCACTTAACACCCCAGAAAAGTAAATAAACGGTGAGGTTTATCAGCTGCCCTCGAACAGGATATTTACTCTGCACAGAAGTAGTGCCTCAGCATTCACAAACAGCTCACTAAGTGTGGGGAGAGGGGAATAAGCTATCGGTGAGTAGCTTCACACTGTGTCCAGAGAACTGTTCTGTAAGGGTGGCAGAGGTCTGGATGAGGCGATACTGCCGCAGGAATAAAAGCCATAAGGCTCAGTTTGCTGATGTAGGTGTAACAGAGGTAGGACCTGGCGCAGGAGGCAGAGCTGATCCAGCTCCAACTCAGTGTGCAGCGACTGCCCGAGGGACCTGCAGCGCCCGGCGCGGCCACAGGAGGGCCAATTAGTGATTCAAAGTTAATTTCTAACATAAACTCAAGTCTTGCTTCCCATAAATCCTAAACTGACAAGCTTTCAGACAGGAGGTCAAAGCTGAGGGGTGAGGGAAGATGAATCCAGATCTTTGTCCTCTCGGTAATTTTGCATTATCTGGAGGGACAGGGACAGGGATAGGGACAGGGACAGGAGGGATAGGGACAGGGACAGGGATAGGGATAGGGACAGGAGGGATAGGGACAGAGATAGGGACAGGGATAGGGACAGGGACAGGGACAGGAGGGATAGGGATAGGGACAGGGATAGGGACAGGGACAGGGATAGGGACAGGGACAGGGACAGGAGGGACAGACAGAGGGACAGGAGGGAAGGGAGGGACAGGGACAGGGACAGGAGGGACAGGGACAGGAGGAATGGGAACAGGGATAGGAGGAATGGGAGGAATGGGAGGGACAGGGACAGGAGGGACAGGGACAGGGACAAGAGGGATGGGAGGGACAGGGACAGGAGGGACAGGGACAGGCAGGGAGAAAGAGGGAGGAACAAGGAGGGAGGGACCGGGACAGGAGGGACAGGCAGGGACAGGCAGGAAGGGACATGCAGGGAGGGACACAGGTTCCAGCACCAACCATCACCAACTTCTCCACGAAAGAGCACACAGAAACATACTCACATTAGGCAAGAACCAGCCCTGGTCTCTTCTGCTATGCCTTCAGTGAGAGGACTAGAGGAAATGGCTTAAAGCTGAGATGGGAGACTCAGATTGGGTATTAGAAAAGAAAATCTCACTGTTGGGTTGGCATTGGAATACAGGGAGGTGGTGGAATCACCATCCCTGGAGGTGTTTAAGAGGTGTCTGGCTCTGGCACTGGGTCATATGGTTTAGTGGTTTAGGGGTCACAGTGCTGGTGGATGGTTGGACTTGATGATCCTAAAAGTCTCTTCCAATATTGATGATTCTATGATTCTGTGAAAATACACAATGGCTACTTTGCTGGAAAGGAAAAACAAATAACAGTGGCAAGGAAGAAGGCTCTGTTGTTTCAAGCATTTCTGCACCTTTGCATTTCTGCATTCTGCTCCACAACAGTGAAATATCCCAAAGCTACCCAAGTAAGGCCATGGGGTGGGTGAGGCTCTCCCTGGACATGGTGAGTGGGAGCAAGAACTGCTTGGACAAGGCATGGCACGAGAGGCCTGGGCATGTGCCACCCCTATGCTCTGCTCACTAAGTAAACATTTACCAACCACCTCATTTTATATTTGCTGAGCTCAACTGGGTGACAAGGTAGAAATCTGAATTTTTTGGTTGTTTTCAATAACATATTGTCTGAGCTCTAATCTGAGCTTTAAGCTGTTGTATAAACAGATTCAAGACTTATTTCCCAAGTGTTTCCACTGGGATAATGAGGCTTGTTTGGCACATACTCATATCAGGACATTTGAACTCCTGGTGTAGCTGTTTACTTCAGGGGCCCATTTACCTTGTCTTCACTGGAGGCTTCTGCTGATCTAATGTCCCACATTTTGAGACACCTTTGTTATCTGTAAGACAAAACAGAAGGCTCAAAGCAGCACACAGAACACTCTGAGAAGTGAACAATTCACATGTTTCAGTAGAACAAACAACTTTTATTGCATATTAAATCCAAAATCATTTAGGATTATTCCAGACAAGAGACAAGCTGAAAGTGAGCAACGAATTGTCCCAGTGTTGCTCCATCATGCCCAGGTGACATCTTGAAGCTACCCAGAAACCAGAGCTTTCCTGAGCTGTGCCAGGGGCTGGGAAGGGTTTGTGGAGGAACTTTTACCCTTGTATTTCAGTAATATTCTTATGAGAACTCGAGCACTCCCACACTCAACTCTTCACCCAATTTAGTGCAATCACCTGCTGCTAAATGGGGTCATGACTCCAGACCTGAGTGCCTGGAATCACTTGTTGCACAGAGAACATCTTCCATATGCAGATTCATACAATGGATCTGTGTGGCTCATCCCCAGTAAAAAGCTTCACGGACATTCCTTGGCACGTGGTCACTAACATGAATGTGCAAGATCCAGGGCAAAGTTCAATTCAGAGTTTTCTTTATTAAAATACCTTTTCACATTCCTTACACTAATGCATTTGCATGGGCACTCCTGGGATGCTGGAAGAGCATTTGGCAACAGAAGGGTGCTATGAAGGCAGCTGGGTGTGACAGTCTTAGGATACAAACAGCATTTGCACAGGGAACAATAAATTAGAGATATTAGCCAGTAACAGGAGCTTGAAAATTTAAACAATTCAAATGTTTCTTGCTGGTTTTGCACCTTTGATGCAATGTTTAAGGCAGTGACTATATATGTATATACAAATCCATGGCCCTTCTTTCACTATTTTCTAATGAAAATGAGAACCTTCTTACCTGTGGCCCAGATCTTGTAGTACTTTAATCTGCAGTAAGAAAAGGAGAGCAATTGCAGTGCCAAAGGGCAGATGGTTAAGGGATTGGGGACAGAATTTTTTCTGGCTTGTGTTCTTGTTTTAAACTGAGACAAACATGGCCTGCAAAAATTAGATCCAGGTCCCAGCTGGATCCATGTTAGTGGTTTATCACACTATAGAGAAAAAGGATAGGTATGGAGCTCCATACTGGACAAACTGGGCACAAGTAAGACTTTAGAGATGTCCTAAAATCAAAGGAATAAGGATTATACATAACAGGATTTTCAGGTACAAACCCACTGACCTGGGTGTAGTGTATCCACTCATTGAAGACTTACAGTCACTCAAAATAACTGTGCTGGACAATCATTTCTTGAAGAACCATCACACCAAACTAACCAACAAGCATCAGGACTTTTAAAGGGGAAAAGCAATTTAGCAAAGAATAAAGACTATTTTTGCCTCTTCTGACAGAGGCACTTGGTAAAGTCTGAATCTCTCAACAGTTATTCAAGTTTTTAGAGAGCCCAGAGCTCACTCTTCTGCTGGGCCCTCAGCTCACTGCAGTGTAGCATCCTTGTGGGCTCCAAGCCTGGGAGAGGTCCAGCTGCTGCAGCACAGGGAGCTCAGCACAGGCTGCAAGGTCATGGCAAAGTACATCCGTGGCTGGCCAAGCTGTGCTGAGCCCTGTTCTGCTCAGCAGTGTCACTGATAACCAAGTTAGCTAGTTTAAAGCAAGCTTAGATATTTCTGCATCCTACTGGCATCACAGGAGCTGCTGCACTGTAGAAATGAACTTCCTCAGCTGAAGTTTCTCCTTTCGTTTCGATGAGGCAAAAAAAGGCAAAATAGCATTAGCAGGAGAAATTAAAGATGAGGACCTGTGTCAGTGGGTTCTAGAGCCACTTCCCTATGAGAATTTTTATTTGCAATTTTTTCCATTAAATGCTGTAGGAACATCTCTATTGTTCTCCCTAAGGAAATAAACTTTGAAGAGAAGAGTCTGGCAAACTCATAAATAACTGTTGCAGAGCCTTTGAAATGTTTGCCACATCTTCCACCTCGGCTTGTTTTCTTCTCCCAGCTGATCTTCAGGGTGAGTGCTCTAAGTAGCATCAGGATGCCCTAGAATTCTCTGTTGGCAACAAGAGCAAAGAAGAGAGGAATGAGGTGTGAGTATGAACGTGCCCCCACCCTCCTGTCCCATAACACAGTCCTTAGAGTGCTGTACAATGAGCTAATAGATACAGTCCCCTGGGGAGACATTAGCATTATCTTCATCAGAAATCAAAGGAAATAAGACAGTGGGAAATTTAGGTTAACAATTACAGGCTTGACTGCTGTTAATCACCAACATCTGCTTACTGATAAAAGCTGGATCTTAAGGGAAGTGCTGGCACTAAATGCATCTGGGAGTCACATCTCTTATTTACTATGAGATATTCAGCTGCCACAGTCAGATCCTCAGCCTCAGTCCCACAAGGATCAAAACCTTTTCCTGAGTTGGTATCTCGCCGTGAGCAGTGCAGTGTTCAGATTTGGGACGTCGTGTTCCTACAAGAGCCTTTCTCCTTTGGAGAGGTTATCTCCAGAGCATAGCAGGGACAGGAGCCTGGCACTGGGAGCACTGGGAGCACTGGGAGCACTGGGGGCAGTGAGCAGCTGGAGCTCTCCTCTGCACCACCAGTGGGAATGGGCCAAGAGAGACCCCAAACTTCATCGTTTTCACATTGTATGGCAGAAACAATTCTGTCCACTGGGGATTCACAACTGTCAGATCTTTCCTGCCATCAGTTGCCAAAGCAAGTCTTCCTCCAACAAATACCTGCTAAGAGTTCATGTGGCCTCTAACCCAATAGTTTAGTCTGTCAGCACTGAGGCGCCTAATTCCTTTTGTGGCCTTACCCCCAAAGGATTTGCCCCATGAGTCAGAGGCAGGAATTCCTGGTTTATAATTCAGTGTTTATTTCAGAGTATCACCTTGTTCTTCATATCCTGACTGCCTGAAATCCCCTCCCCAATTCTACATGGACACATCCTTCATCCTCCTTTCCTGTCTGAGACTGCTGTGCCACGTTACTCTGCACAGCTAAACTCATGCCATGTCCCCTGGGAGCTGACTATGTTATGCTGGCAATGAGAATTCCTTTCCCACTGAGAAAATACTTTGGGAATCACTTGACTAAGATGAGTAAGTAGCTGAGTAAAAACAAGAAATTCCTCCAAGTAGATGCAAATGCTGCAGGTTTCTGTCTCAGAGGGCACATGCTGAGCTTGAACAAATAGGCAGCTCACAGTACATGATGTCCTGCCTAGGCTGCCAGTCCTGGGGCAGCATCAAACAAACAAGCACACACATCTAAGAGGTAGCAGGAGAGGAGGAGATATGAAGTCAGAACATACTGCTGAGGTAAATTTGACACAATCCCAATTAGTATTTGGCGAAGTGGCTATCTCATTGTTAAGATATTTCCTTCAATATGTTTTCAGAAACTGGGACCATTAAATAACTTAGAAAGATTGCCAGCTCTGATTTCAGGAAGGAAACCTCCTCCCAGTTCCTCTCTAAGTAATTCATTTCTTTTGCAAATACTTCCTATGGATGGCATTTAAGATAGAAATTTCTGAACAGAGGAGAAGGAGGGAAGCAACCCCCAACCCCAAACTTTGGGTTCCTTTCTGAATGACCTAAAAGCCCAGACATTCAGGTTCAAGGTAGTCTGGACTGCAAATCAGTCACAGTCTGTATTGCAGTTAGGCCTTTATACAGCTCAAGAAATGCAAACTTTAACTGGTTGTTTTTCTCCCACCACCTTCCTTGGCATAACACAAAGGCTTTCGATGCCTCTGTGTAACACAACACTTATTGTCAGTACACAGTGTTTGCTAAAGGCCTGAGCTCAATTTTGTGATGGTCTCTCAGTGAAGATGAAGCAAAGATCCTAAATTTCCCTGCTGGCTTATATCTATTCTGACAGAAATTATGTAGACACAAAAGCACACGAGCAGGGCTAGAAATCATTAAAATGATTTGCTACATCTTTCTTCTCCCCAGTGCAGTATTGCCTGTGACTGAACTGAGTGCTAACAGACTTTATCTGAGCAGTGGAACTCACGTTGTTCTTTGAATTTAGGGAGTGGGAAGGACATCAGGATCTGGTGTCAAATCTCCAGCAGCATCACTGAAATAAAAAGGCTGCGTGTCCTCCCGTGGCTGAGCACAGAACTCTCCTCTCTGCTGTGGTGTCCTTTGTCCCACACTTCTGGAACACCTATTACTTCCTAAACAGAGTGAATTCTACAAACTTTTGGACCAGCCACTACAGCTAGGTCACCCATCTGGCACTGCACGTGATTGAGCTTCCAGCCTGGCTCCTGAGGGCTTCATTTCACTCACAAAGTAAGGGAGCAGAGGAGCAAAAGCAACTTCACCTCTGAGCCAAATACTTCATTTGGCTATAAAGAAGCAGAGCAGATGTGGAGGAAGCTTAAGCCACTTGATCACTTTATAAGGAGCATTTTCCTTTTCATGAGTAGGATCAACAACTCCTCATTTGGACCAAACCTTTGAGATACATCCCAGTTAAGCATTGTGTGAAAATGAGCTACAGAAAAAAAAAACAGCTGCAAAAAATTACTGATAAAAAGCACCTTAGCAGCTCCCTGCCTCTTCTGTACTCAGCTGTGTGGCCTGAAAAGTGCTGAGAGGCAAACAGAGGGGATGGAAAGTCTATAAAGAAATTAATCTGTCTGGTCCAGCTTCAGGTCACTTACGTGGAGAGAAAAGAGGATGGTGCTGCTTTTTGCCACAGGCTTTATGGGGAATAGAAGTGGGAATTGAAGAAGCAGAAAACAGGGCTCTGTTTTTTTGCTCTGTACTTTAAAGCATTAATAATGACAAAAAAGGAATAGTTACTGTGGTAATACATGAACAGTGTGTCCAAGGAGGGTCAATGTCTCAGATGTGAACGGGGTGAGGCTACTTCAAGGAAAGCTCAAGTTACAAAACTGACTTTTCTTTGGGGTGATTCTGAAAATGGGATTAGTTTTGCAGAATAATGAGTTTTATTACTCTCCTGCTGTTAGCAGGGGAGTAATAAAAGAAACTCCAAGAAAACATTGCCCTCGGCTGACACTTTCCTTCCTTGAATCTAATATTACTCCATAGATTGCCTGGTTTAGCAAGCTTGAATAGCCCAATTAATTATGAAGGTGATTTACACAGGGTAGTCAGTGTATTTTCACTGCCTTTTTCATTATACTTTCATGGAGAGATAGTTTACTCACTTTTGGCCACTAGAAAAGGAAACAGCAAAAAAAAAAAATCCATAAAACTCTAGACTTTAATCCAATGTCCACTCTAAACCATGTGGAAAAAAAGAAGACAAAACCTCCTCCCTGAGCTTACACATGTCTATCACAGCCACTCTTGGACACACTCTGTGTTGGACAGGGACACATTCTCTCCAAGGAATGCCTTGCTGGAACCCAGAGGAGGCTTCAGCTCCATTTATTTTTAGAAAATTGAGAGCAAAAAATAAAAACAAACAGTTAAGCTAGGAGAGACAATGATACCATAAACCCTCCTGGCCTATTAACGTGAGTCTGTTTATTGTAACGCAATCTGTGACCTTCAGTGCTCTGCCAGTGTCTGTAAATAATACAATGTGCTGCTGGTGCTCCCACGGGGACAGCAGTGCTGATGGAGCCTCTCAGACCTCCAGTGGATTCCACAAGCTGATGTGGACTGTGCTATTGTGATTCTTATTTATGAGTCTCTCCCTTTTTCTTTGTAAGTACAAATTCCACAGTCACAAAGTGGATGGCAGAAAAAACACCCAGTCTGCTCAGTCTGAGGTTTGATGGCTTATCTAACATTCATAAAAGTTCTCCTGAAATCTAAGTTCTCTGCCTCTCAGATCTCAGAGTCACAGCCCATTCAACACACTTCTTAAGAAAATAAAAAAGTCCATCTTTTTTTCATGGGCTTCTCAGCACCATGAAGCTGTTCACCACCTCCAGAACCTTCACAAACTCCACATTCTGCTGCTGAGATATCCATACATGGATGATACTATTCTCACTTCTGGGTTAGAGCAGCATAACTGTGACCCAGCTCTGACCCAGCAACAAAAAACTCTTTGCCTTTAAAATTTCTTACAAGGTCTCAGTTTACCACCAGCCCTTACAGACGTTCCACTTGCTGTACCGTGTTTTGGGTAAAAACAAACCCAGAAGGAGACAGTCCCAGACAGGGAATGGAAGTGCCTTCAAGCTCAGCTGATCAGCTATTCCTCCTTAGTTCAACTTTTCACACCTCAGGAAGGAGCTCATTTCTCTACAGACTGTGTGTGTGAACATTCCTGAGAAGATTCACTGGCACTGAACACAGATCTACAGATGGGCCTGGAACAGCAGGTCTGTCCCCAGTCAGATATTAACCAGCTAAGCAGGTTTTCCTATGCAAATCTTGAGTGCCTCAGGTCCATCAGGAGCCTGAAGCAAGCAGAAGCCAATTCCAACCTTGTGCCACCCTGTCAGCAGAAATACTTGTGGCACATACCTAAAGCTGTGCAGGTGTTCAACAGACATTCCTGGAAGATCATGGTTTGTCACCAACACTACCAAACACACCTGTCAGTTCCACAGGCCTTGAAAGCTGACCATGCTACAAACGTGGGACTGGAAGGCTGATTAGCAGGAATATGTCAGAAGGGTTTGCCCTGTAGCTGAGCTGAAAAGGCTCTGAACAACACAGACAACTGAACCATAGCAACACTTGAACTTCATCTCACCAGAGACACAATAATCTCAATCCAACACTGCTATATTTAAGCGTTTGCACAAAAAAAGATACTTACAGCCTGTGCATAGAACAGATACTTACAGAATGTCTGTTTTCCAGAGAATCTGCAAAATAAAAGACAACGGATCAATTATGGAATGGCACATTGCAGAGTGACCAGTTCTATGTTCCTGAAAACACAGATTTATGTACTAGAACCTTTGTGCTCATTGCACAGTGATGGAAAATTGCTCCTACAACTAAGGTCCCACCTCTGCACCCAAGGGGTATCCGAGCTCTAGTTTAATCCAAGTACATGGGTGAGCCCAAACACTTCAAAGAGCACATTGAGCAGGACCTGTTTGACAGCTTTCCTGATTGAGAGCTGGAGCAGAAGTCTCTACTGAGAGAACAAGCTGTTACTGGACAAAAGAGACTCTTCCTTTTACAGGCAAGTTCTCATGAGCATTATACTTCCTAATCCAACTCCTTGCCAGGAAAATAACATATTGCAGAAATCCGGTATAGGATACAATTTTCAGGGCCAAATAAGACCTTGCAAAGACACCTGCAATTTTAGGAATGAAAAGTTACTTGTTCCCAATGAAAGCTTGAGAGTCACTGGGCTCTTTCTATTCAGGGTCAGTGAACTTTAAGGTTAGATCTGAGGCTTTTTATTCTAAAAAAAAAAAAAAGCAGATTTAGCTATTCAGAAATTTCACAGACTACATTGAAATACTAAAACATAGATATTTATTTGCCCTTTGAAGTAATGCCCCAAGCAGAGGGTTTGGACAAGGGCTCTGGGGAATCTTGCTGGTATTTTTTCTACAAATGAAGATACTTTCAGAATTTATGTTTTTTTTCTAGATATATATGATTTAAATAGCAATTAATAACATGGTCATCCCACAGGCAGAACACCTGTAAACTCCGAAAAGTTCTCTGAAATCTGAAATGAATATTATGAAAAGTACTACTATTACCATTGCAAGATCCTAATAAAGGTCTTTTAGACACTCCCTTGTCAGACAGAGGAAACTGAGCACAGGTGAAGTCTCTGGCACTGCACACTATGAGTTTTATCCAGGCAGTTCTACCCAGAACTTTTAGCCTAGGAAAAGCAGTAAGACCTGAGGAGATTACAGCACCTACACCAGTACCTGAACTTCATTCCAGTACAAAATTGATCTCAATGTTTGACAAGTTTGATCCACATATATTTAGCCATTTTGATAATAAACAAAATAAGAAGTTATACCAAAGACATAAAAGCTTTTTGTGTCCTGAAAACCAACAGAAGTGAATGAAAATCTGCTGACCCAGAGCTACATCAAAGCTTGACTTCCAGTGGCCAAAGCTATACATAAGGTTTATGAAGTGAGGTACTAACGAGCTGTTGTTTAGTCTCTGTCACAATGTATTGTGCTCACAGGAAGGAGGAAATGAGAAATTCTGTGTTAATTCCAAGCTTCAAACAACGGGATGTTGGCTACCCCAAAGCTACTGGGTCACAATGACAGATGTCTCTCCTCCTTGTTACCTGTCACCCAGATCTGCCAGTGTGGCTTTCCCCCAGGGGAACCTGGAAGTGCTGTGTGATTCCTGACAGGCACCACTCAGGGAGTCTCTAACAAAAGCACAATCAAACAGTGGATTTTGCTTATTCTTTGTTACATCAAACTCTTCACAATCTATTTTATTCTTGTTAAAAAGATGAGGTGTGTTTTACTGATTTTGCTGTGATGACAGACAACAAAGAGACTTCCCATGACACGTGGCTTTCCCTCATTACCAAAAACAGGGACATGAGACATGCTGGATTCTAGTCATAGACACAAAAACTGGTCAAGCTTCCACAGCAGGGCAAACAATCAGCTGCATTCTGTGAAAGGAATCAGAGCAAAAGGTCTGACACTGGTGATTTCCAAGAGATTCCCCAGTGTCACGAAGGCAGATGTATTTCTGATGCACTTAGCCTCTTGCTATTGCTTTTAGATGATGGGGGTTTAAACTCAAAGAAGACACTTCCACAAGGAGTACATTGGTGACAGGAGTTTCAGACACTCATCCCCACCTGTTCCACTCCAGGGTATGGAGAAGAGATTATGTGCCTAATCAGTTACAATTCTTACTCCATCTCAACCCATCTCCAACCCTGATGAAAGCCAAGATGTTAGATTATGAACCGAAGGTGCTGAACTGCAGACACACACCACATTCTGCCAAGAACTGGAGCAGTGGCTTCTGACAGAGGATCTTGGCAGGCAGCTTGGGAGCAGCTCTGACACGGGGCCACGCACGCAACGCAGCTTTGTGTTGGAGGTTCAGGCAGGGGCAGAGCTCCCTGCATGGCTGTGCCTCACTGACACCATCTGGCTTTGCCCAAGGTTTGGCTGAAGCTACTCGAAGCATTTGGCTCTGGAATCAATATCTCACAGACCCAAGCTTTGGTCTAGAATATGCCTTGAAACCTGAAGATGCAAAGAGTTTTTATTTTGGAGAAGGTTCAAGTGCTTTGCATGGTTTTGGACTGCATGCACCTAACTTGTGCTCCTAAGGCCTGAGCTCTGAGCACACACTGAATCCCCAGACCCTCTGAGCTGTCTCTGTGCTGCAAAAGGATTCAGTGGGAAACTCTGGCTAAGAGGGAGGTGCTAAGCCTAAGGCTCAGGAGCAGGAAAGTATTTGAGCAGATTTCCTGATTGCTAGAGCTGATTTCAAATAGTTTGTTCCAAACCACTGAATGCAATGGGGATTTCTCATGCCTCTTTCCACTGGGATATATTTATTTTTCCATAGTACATTGTTGGTTGCTGTAGAATTCTTAGAATTTCCTGTCTCACTTGCTGCCATTGCTTCCAAGTGACCAATTCACTTTTCCAGACTTAGCAACAAAACGAGCTGGCTCTGCATTTTGTTCACTAGATTTCCACTTTGCTAGTAAGAAACTCAGAATAGTAATGTTGCAATAAGCCACGATGAGCTCAATGCAGTGCACAGATCAGTGCAAGGCCTGTCACTGACTTCTGGGAGCTTTGGCTCTGCTGCAGAGCAAAGACAGAGTTCGCTGGAGGAGCAAGTATGAATCAATGCATCATCTTCCACGAGAAATGCCCTGAAAAAATGTAAGGGAATCTGAGCTGGAGTTGGCTCTAGACCTCCCAGCAATATGAACAGAACTGTGCTACCCCAAGAACTGGGATCAGTGTTGAGGGAAGGGCTGGGGCTGAGATAAAGAACCAGTATGGAGATGCTTGGACTTCCTGCCCCTACTACCCCTGGGGAAGATGAAAGGTGTGATGGAAATAAATCATGTCCAAAAGAGCCTCCACCCACACTGAACTCAGTGCCTGAGACATCCTGACCCTCCCTCAGGAAGCTCTGCCAGCCTGGGACTCAGGCACAGGCAGAGTAGGCAGCAGGGCCACAGACACTTTATCATTCCTGCCAGACTGTGGATTTAGACAATTGCCTGTTTTGCTTAAGTTTTGGACTGTCTCAGTTCTTTCTGAGCAAAGAGGAACAACCCTGGGACTGGGCTGGACACTCCTGATTCACAATGTACTTTGGCTTTTTCATACAGCACCCAGAGAAAGAAGTGTTTTAAGGAAATCAGTTTATCCTGGTAAGTCTGAAGGACTTTTGGACAAAAATGTTACTGACTTGACTGGCACTAGTTGTGACCATTCCCCTAATTGCTATTTGGATCTGAGCTTTAAGTTGAGGCTTGAATCTTTAGGCATGGTATGTAAAATACTAAAGGAACAGCCTATTGCTGTAGAAAAGGTTTAAATCAATACCTGGGTGAACTTCCTGAACACTAAATATTTCTCTGAATTAAACTAACCTTTCAATAACAGCACAAGGACAACTTCTTATCTCTGAGTTCCTTGCAGAGACAAAGCTAGAGATCAGCATCCTCCTCAAACTCTCATTACAGCAGAGCAAATCCAGTGTCCAGCTGGAGACTGACATTATCTACAGGACTGTTATTTGACTTTCCATCAAAATACACCTGACTAGACTT